TAGCTGTGCCAAAAGAAAAAAGCATCCCTGGAAGGGCTTGGTGGCACAAATGTTGGGAAGTTACCGTCACGAGGCTGGTCAATGGCAGAAATTAAATCCTGATTCAGTACACCAATTTCAAGGGTTTAAAGGGTGGGCAGAAGTACAGGACACATCTAGTGACAGCTTGTAGGGAAGGCCAGAAAACAGCTTTCATAATTTTTGCATTAGCTCAAAATTCATCTGGTTGATAGGTTTGTTTATCACTTTGGGAACAGCATGTCCTGATTTAAACAGATGTCATCTCTTCAAAGCCACATGTGATGAACTCAGCAAGGACTTGGAAAGATAACTAAATGTACAACGGAGAGAGCTAGGAAACTTATACTTTACACAGAAGTCTGAATAACTGAAAGCAGATCAAAACTTCCTCTTGCAAAAAAACATCGTTATGTAGTTTTACAAGGTGCTTCTTGTTTGCAACATGAAATTTTGACAATCAAAATGCAAGATGTTGATTGTTATGATTTGTTTTTAAGCAAGAAAAATAAATTCAGGCTGGTTGCCAGGTCATGGAAGTACCCAACAGTTTTAGCCATACTTTAAAAACTTAATTCATCACTGCATTTTTCCACTTGAATGTGGGTGGCTTCTAATACTGTTTTTTATTACGCAAGAATTATAAATATTCTTACTTAGAACTAATGAATTAATTTGGATGCACCAGTGAGATATGAATAGCTCAAGGTTTTCCCTGGGCGTGAGGAGCGGTAGTCAAGCAGCAGGTAATTACCCTGACCTGGAAGCTAAGTGGTTTTTGATGAGTAACTCATTAGGAGCAGGGACCACAGTGCTCTGAGAGCTCATAATAAGAGCACAGATTGCAAAACAGGCACACAGTTGTGGCTGTGCAAGAAGAGCTGTGTGCATTTGGAGGGTTATTAGCTGTAGATGGTTTTCTATCCTGATATGTAATATGGAGTGTTGCAGCTCTGGCCTGGAATCTTCTTAAGATGTGATAAAAGCAACCAAAGTCAAAGCCACGAGGTGTTCAGTGTTGTATTATTGAGATCCCAGCTGGTCACCACCATTCCAATTCTGCATAAATGCATTCCCTAAAAGAGTCTCAAGTTGATGGGGAGGATGGGGAGATAAGTACTTGTGGGAGATGGAGAGGTCAGCTCAACCTCATCGAATGTCAACTCACTGATAATGAGGCTCTGGAAAGGAGACAGAAGGTCTGAATAAACAGGGGTGTTCTGTACCTGGGCATAAGATAAACTCTCTGCTGATTTTAAGACTTGTTATGGAATTTGCTTGCTTTCTAGACAATGGATCAGTGGAAATTTACTGAATACGTGTGTTAGAATATTAAAAGGCTTGCTTAGAAGAATAAGCGCAGAGACGGATACACACCATGATCATGATCATCACAGCAATAAAGCAATATTCCTGGCACAAGAACCCTATGTCGTGTTACTACCTCACGACAAGTACTCCAAGTCCTTTAATAACTATGAGGAAAATTACCATGCCAAATTCCAACTAAGTTGCCTTCTAAAAATGTTTCAATAAATTAAGAAGGCAATTAATAATTGATGCTTGCTATTTTAAAAATCCAAACAACTCCAGAAAAAAACATTTTTTCCCAGAAGTGAGATGCCATGAAAAGAGATAGATAGGTCCATGCAGGGTGAGCAATCCTCTTAGGTTTCCAGAATAAAGAAAGGACTAAAGAACAACTGCACCCGCTGCAGGGCATCAAGCAAACGGTATGGGGTACTTGGCACACGCAGTGATAGGGCAGGGGAAGTGCAGTGCTAAGTTCGTCCTATTCTCCTAACCCAGAATCCCTCCTCTAAGGTGACATTATGACATATCTCAGTTCTACGGATCCAGGGGACAGCATTGGCATGGGGTATTACTGGCACATTAGGAAGCCATTATCAGAGCAGCGCTGCTGGTTACAGGTGGGAGGAGGAGCTCTAAGAGGAGCTGGCACCATCCTGCTGCAAGCTGACAGGGCTCCATGGTCACTCTGGTGTCCAAAGCTGTTTATGTTCCCTGTTTGTGAGCAGCAGACATGCCCCCATCATTTGTAGCACAAACTCACCACACTGGGATATGCTTTATAAATAAAGGTATTAAAGGCATAAATCTCCTTTAAGGAGCTCCTAAGTGCCTCTAGCAGATAGCTGTGGGCAACTATTTAAAGAATGAGTCTCCTGGGATGGGAATGGGCATCACTCTGCCAGAGGTTCTTAATCAAGGAACCTTTTCCATCCACCTGCTGCTGCTGTGCTCCAGCTCTTTCTTTACAGCTCTGCTACATCCTCAGCAGGCTCTGAGCTGAAGGTCAGGTCAACAGAAGTCTGACACCTTCCTCTAAGTACAACCGATGAATTTTTTAAAAATTTTACATTCAAATTTCTTTGTATTTCATCTCCAAGAATAGCTGAAGATGTTCAAGAGAGCACACACTGAATGGCTTTGTTCCCATCCATGTCTTCAAACACACATCTGAGTACACTCCAGTGGATCATTTCTAATCATGTCTACAACCAAGAGCAGACAGAAACCTTTCCTGTCACTGCAGTGAATTAATGGGGTGATACAGTTGTGTCCCTAGAATGCCACTGTCATTTTCAGCCACACTCGTGCTGCCCTATCCCTTAGCAGGGTTAGTATCTGAGCCATTTTCCAAGACAGTGGTTACAGATAATTATAAAGAAAATAGATACAAAACAGGGAAGGATGTCCTTTAGAAAATGACTTGATGATCCATTGCATCAGCTTTACCAAATTACACGCAGAATATGCTCTGAGCAGAACTGATTGCATACTCTGAGGAAAAGGCGCTTCCCTGAGATCCTGGGAGCAGGATTTATTTGCTGAAGGTGACACAGCCTGGTGTTATTTGCAGCAAAGTGCCCGGTCAGCTCTCCGGCCAGCTGCTCACATTGCAGCAGCTAATGGCAGCATCTTGCATTGATAGCACGGTGCTATCAAGATGCCCAGCCATGGGAGACCACAGCTGCAGGGACTGGAGATTTTGAAATACTTGTTCTGTTTCCATCAAGCAACATTTTTATAACCAATCATTGAAATTAGGCTGTTCTATTAAAATCAAAGCATCTTAATCTGAATGCTGCCATTAATTTGAATGCTGGGCTATTTATCTTGTCATTGATTAACAGCTTTTGGAAGAGTAGCAAAGTACGTGTTAGATAACCCAGATGATGAACAGCTCTGCTCCGTGAGCCCACAGCAAGATGCTTCCATTTTCCTTCCACACGCCAATTAAATGATTAAGTATTGTTTTCCAGGGCCGAAGGAATTACATGGCAGTAGGTGGGTTTATTAGCAAAGAAGGAAAAACACTCCTACATGGAAGGAAAAGATCATTCTGAGTGACTGACAGCCATGCCCCTCAAAGCATGTCTGGAGGTAGCTGAATTATTCACTGTCAGGTCATGGCCCAGCCCTTTGCCCTTTTCGCAGACTATTTACCAGTTTCTCCAGACATCTCCAACGCATTCGTCACATCAAGATGTGCTACCCAGTCTGTTGCTCATATAGATGGTCATAAATGTAGCTGTTGTCAATAGGGAAGAGGCTGGGGGCAACTCAAACTGGTCACAGAGACCAAGGCATCCTTCGATGAGTAAGAGCTGCTCCGTTACTTTACCTTAAGCACCTCAGCACACAGCTTAGGCACTGAGCGGAATCACCTGCAGGCAGGAACCTCAGCATGGTAGGAAATGTAGAAACCCCTTTCTACAGGGGAGTTGGTCTGGATGGCCTGCAGGAGTCCCTAGACACTCAAATGTTTCTAGGATAACATGCTATGGCATCTAATTCTATTGTACATGAATTAATAATTTAATGTGAGGAGCTTTGGAAGAAAGGAGAGGGAGAAGCTCTGCAATCCCCATGGCCGTGCTCTGCAGTTACTACACCAGAACTGGGCGTGCTGTGTTCACACCACACACACTGCTTCATGGGGCTGGAAGCAATCAAGAAGCTGGAAAGAATTCCACATGTAACAACTCTTGGCTGTAGGGATTTGCAGTTTAAATAGGACACCTCCTTAAGCATATAGTGGAAGGAGTAGCATGGGAACTTGCATATGACAATTTCAGCTGGAGACTCAGTCATTTAGCAAGTTGGAAACAGGTGGAAATCAACTCAGCAGCACAACTGAGCACCCAAGTCTGCTGGGAACACAGATGTGCACCAGCAGGACAGGGCTCTGCAAACATGACAACACCACAGCAACCTGCACCCAGATTTGTAATTTTTTTTTCAAATTTTTGCAGGCAAATATGTCACAGGAGATTCACAATAATTTAATACTTTGTGACCTAGACTCTCTACTTCTAAGCCATGCAAACACCCCTATCTGATGGTCAGAGAGCATCCAGGGGAGCACTGTGGTGCTGGACATGTTCACATTGGATATTAGGAGAAAATTCTTCTCTCAAAGAGCAGTGAGGCTGTGGCACAGCTGCCCAGGCAGATAAGGAAGTCACTGTCCCTGGAGGTGTCCAGAGCTGTGGGGATGTGGCACTGAGGGATGTGGGCACGGTGGGGCTGGGCTGGGGTTGGGCTTAACGGTCTTAGTGGTCTTTTCTCTGATGTGTGTGCCCGGTCCATCCAGAACCAGGCTACAGATATTCACAGTGCAGATTTATTTTGCAAAGCTGTTCCAAGATGACAAAGAACTGGTCCTTCATTTATCACTTGACTGAGGTTAACAAAAATATGCTTGTTATTTTGAGACTTTTAAAATTGCCCCAAATTTGGCAGGTATTGCGGTGCAGACTTGCACACGGGTATCACATCTGCCCTAAGAATACCTCAGCCAAAGAAACGACAAAACCTATTCCAACGCTTAAACACCACCAGTGTCAGTCCCAGCAAGACGGATGGCATTTAAACAGTTACCACCTGGGAAAAAGAACAGCAATGCTGACAAAAGTTCAGTGACTAAATGGTGAGACATGCATGTCCAGACTTACCATTTTTGTCAGCTCTTCTAAAAATCTGGAATTGAAAGAGAGAGAGAAAGAAGGATTACTCAGGAGTTTGGTTGCACCCTCCAAACATCCATATGCTTCCCCCACCCAATCCCAGCTCCTGCTCCAGTGCAAAGGGCAAGTATTCCCTGGGAAGCATCAGTGCTTTGGCTTTGGAAGTAACCAAAGGGTCTGGTGGTAGGAAGAGTCTTTTAGCACACTGCAATTAATAGCAGAACCCTTGTGCAAGGGCTGAAATCTTACAGGCTGCTGCCAGGAATGGCTGTTAGCACAGGTTTGGCCATAAATTACTGAAAAATTAAGATGCTCATAAACTGGACAGAAAAAGAGACAACATTATCATCACCTCTTCATATCTGACTCTATTAATTTGAGCCAGAGCAGAGATTTTGGCTGTTCAAAGGCATTTCCCTGCAGAGGGAATAAAAGCACCAGGACAGATCAGAGAGCCAGAAAAATGCAATCTTTTCTGGGTCATAAAATCATTACAGGGAAAAAAAAAAAAGTCAGAGAAGAAACTGCTGCACACAAGAAACCCAAGAGACAAATTGCATTGCAGAATATGCTATTTAAATGCATACAGTTTAATTAAGCAACATTAATCATTCTGCTGGAACTGCTTCCTAGGCTGCTCAGGGCTAAGTCGAAGCTGCTCTTTCTTGGGCTCTTTCTTGGGCAGAAGCAAGCACTTTCTGCTTCATACGAATGGCGCAAACAGCCACATCCCAAACTTCAGGAGCCATAGAAGCCCTGCAAGATTTAGAGCTTGCCACCACACTTCTTGGGCTGACCATTTCTGAGAACAACCAGAAGTGTGGAGGGAAATCCTACGTCTGCAGGCTCATGGACCATGAGGATATGGGTTTTGAAGGAGCAGGCATTGTTTTCCATGGGATGGAAGAATTAGTGGGCCAGTGGGACATCAGGCAGCCCCAGGATTTCTGCACACATCACTCAGCCATGAGCACCACGCTCATGGAAATGACTGTATTCCTGACTTGGACGACCCATGTCCTTGATTTATTTTATAGGGCCAAGCTGCTTAGCATTGCTGTCGGTGAGCAAGTTCTTAATTGGATTGCTACAATTTTGCCTAGGAAAATGATAAAACAGGACACCAGAAAAGAAAGCTATTCAAGATACAGCCACCTGTTAGCATGGGCAGATGGGACCATGGCATGAATGAACATCAGGAGGCTGATGGAGATGTGATCTGCTCTGTGATGGCTTGCCAGTGCTGCCTAAAATGTTGCTCCTGCAAGGAATAAGGATTTACACTAAACTGTAAAACTAAAGCAAACTGCACCAGCCACCTGGGTGGGTGCTATTTTCACAGCTGGTAAAAAGAAATTATCTAGCCCACAATGTACTGCACTGAACTTCTCCTCATCAGTCGTGTTACAAAGCTATCAGGGAAACTTCTGAAGAACAAGCTAAACTGTACAGTGAGGATTCCCACAGCACGGGCCAGATTAACCTGTGTTATGGGATGTACTCTTGAAGTACATGCAGTTCCCTGGCTGCAGCATACTTAGAATCTTTAAGGTTGGAAAGGATTTCTAATATCATCATGTCCAACATTCCACCTATTTCCAATACTGCCCTCAAACCACAGTTTGTGCCACATCCCCATGGCTCCTGAACACCTCCAGGGATGGGGACTCTTCCACCTCCCTGGGCAGCTGTGCTACTGCCTGTCCACTCTTTTAGAGAAGTTCTTCCTAATACCCAAATTGAACCTCCTCTGAAGCAACTTGAGGCCGTTACCTCTCATCCTGTCTTGCTCCATTTGCCAGGTGGTTAGATGCACATAATCACTATTGTACCTTGAACCAGCAACATCTTTCAAGAGTTCCAATGGCTTTCTCTAAAATGTACATTTTCTGTGGTGCTCTCAAATAGCTACTGCAATTATTTGACAGAAGAAAGCAATTCAAAACGTTGGTGGTAACAATAAACTTTAAGTAAAATTGATGGTTTCAAATTTAAACAGTCAGCTCTGATTTCTCAGAGCTCTTGGATGAGAAAGAGCTACACTGGAGGCTACTTGAGGGAGGTTTTCTTGGCAATTTCATTAAATTGACACAATCACTCCCCTAACAAGCCCAGGAATTATTGCAGGGTTTGTAGAGTTCATTATTCTTTCAGCAGGTTAGCACGATGTTGATTTAAAATAGAGTGCAGCTGGGCCAGAATTCTGTGTTCCTGCTGACCTCAGTGCAGAATCGAGGACAAACAAGACCTGTCCTCCTGGGTGAGGAGAGCCTGCGGGTGACAAAACACCATGCAGGGAGACACAAAGTGCAGGCGGATCTGCTCACGGTGTTCCCTCATCCCTGTGCTGTTGCTTTCCTCATCTGGAGTTTGTCCTCATCTGGAGCTGAGACAAGGCTTTACGAACTCCCATAAGGAAATTCCTCTCCAACGACCTCTGTTATTCTTTCTGGTGCTAATGACAGAAAATAATGACTCGAAATATTACTGCTTTGGACTACATCATTACAGGCCGTCCTGCAATGGTCTTTCCCCACGCAGGGCAAGGGCCTGGCTGGGTGTTTCAGTAGGAAATACAATGTTGGCATGGAAACGCGGTCCCAGTCATTGTGCCCCTACAAAGCTGCAGAGCTGCGGGGTTCACAGCACGTCCTCCCAGAGAGGAGCAGCCGACACCATGCCCTCGCCTTTCACCTCTCCTCTTACTGCTCTGCTTTTTACTGCCTCGCTCTCAGAAATCAAGGCTGAAAGAGAGTGGCAGGGGTTGCAGTTGACGCTGTTCTGTGTAAAGTGCTGGTAGTTCCGTGAGCGCCAGCCTTGGGTGCAGCTCCATCAAGGATGGCAGAGATAAGTTAGTCCTCAGCAAAACACAGAGCAGGTCAAACTAAAAGCTTAATCTGACATGAAGGCGTGGGCATTGCTTTCCTCAGGGGTTTTCAAACTAGGGCCAAAAAGAGTAGCCATGAGGCACGCGGCCACTGTTGGCCAAGCCAGGGGCCGTGCCCCTCCCAGCAGCTTCACCCCAAAAGGAGCCAACGGGGCAGCATGGCTGCTGGTCCTCGGCATTTCCATCCAATGTGTTTCCCACTTGCATGATCAGAGGTGGTATGGACAGTGAGGGCATGAGTAAGAGCAGTCTGTAACTAAGAACTGAAGTACTCCCAGACAGAGTAATACCTGTCTAGACATTTCCCACATCTGAGGAGCCTATAATCCCAGCTCTGTATTGCACGTATACTCAGTCACACACAGCAAATACCACCTGATACAGTTTTTTCCAAAACCCCACTCCTATTTTCCCTTTTATTAGTCTTATGATACTTGTGGATCATCTCTGAACCAGAAAGTCACTGTGACCACAGGTGTTTGTAGGACCACCGTGCCAATTTCAACTCCTTTGCAAAAGGGATTTTGACCTCCTGGCTGCAGGCAGAAACTGCCCACAAAGGGCATCTCAAGCAGCCCAGGACGAAGACAGAGATCACAATCTGATCTCCTTCTATGACCAGATGACCTGCCTGGTGGATTAGGGAAAAGCTGCGGATGTAGTCTGCCTAGACTTGAGTAAAGCCTTTGACACTGGCTTCCACAATGTTCTCCTGCAGAAGCTGCAGCCCATGGCTTGGACAGAGTCTTTACTGGGTAAAAAATTGCCTGGATGGCCAGGCCCAGAGAGTAGTGGTGGATGGAGTTACATCCAGCTGGCAGTTACAAGCGGTGATCCCCAGGGGTCAGTGCTGGGGTCAGCCCTACTTAGTATCCATAGTGATGATTTGGACAAGGGGATTGAGAACATCTTCAGTAATTTTGCAGTTCACACCAAGTTGGGGGGAAGTGTTGGTCTGAGTGTAGGAAGGCCCAGGAATCTGGATAGGCTGGATCAATGGGCTAAGGCCAACTGCATGAGCTTTAACAAGGCCAAGTGCCAGGTTCTGCACTTCAGACACAACAACCTCATGCATCACTTCAGGGTTGGGGTAGCTGGAATTCTGCCCAGCGAGGTGATGGAGTCACCATCTGTGGAGGTGTTAAAGACCCATGGAGATGTGGCACAGAGGGATGTGTTTACTAGGCATGGTGGGGGTGGGTAGGGGTTGAACCTGGGGATCTGAGAGGTCTTTTCCAACCTTAATGAGTCTATGATTCTATATAAACATTGCCATAATCTTATCTCAGAAGCTATGGGTAGACTTCTTTTATCTACAGCAGCCCAGATGCTGTCAGTCTGAGTCTGAGGCTCCTGATGACAGGGCAGCACTATGCAGACTCACCGTGGGATGCAAGCACCCAGGTGAACCCCTGGGTGATACCAGCTGACACTGTGTGAGCTCACCACTGAGCACATCTCCCGTTCCTTCTGCCACCACCACTCAGGATCATCTCTCACTCCTGGTTTCATTGCTGCAGCTTCAAGAAATGCTAAGGACTTAAATCTCTTCCTCATTAGTCCATTACCAGGTTTTCACCATTCCACAGTTTTAGCAGTTTGAGCTGAACTATTATTCAATATTATTCAACTTTTACCTAGAAAGACACAAGAAAAATAAAGGGAAATTACGGAGACACCCCTAAGTTATGATTTATCCCTGAAGCAACAGCAGCCAGGCTGGTGGCAGAAGACATCTGCTCCCCGTGGACCTCCTTCCTCAGCCCTTGCTTTCACCCCACAACATCCTGGTTTTGTTTCTTGGATGCAAAGGGAGCAGGAAAGTTCTCACTGACCCATTACCACCCTCTTGGCCCAGAAGAGTCAGAACAAACACTTTGATGATGTTGAGTCGGAAGAAATCCAGAACAGATAAGGAGAAGTGACTGCCATGTCATTAGCATCAGAGCCACTTTAAGCAATTCATAACCAAAGCAAGCTTAGCCCTCACCTCAACTCGTGAGGATGTTATTTAAACACAGAATCTGCCAGGGCTCTTCCTGTATGCCCTGAGGAGCCACAGTGCTTGGAGCTGGAACTGCTCTTCCCATATGCACACAAAGCACGGAAGCTGCATGAGCTAATTGGAAATACCTAAGGATTACTGTGGAATCATTGTTACCTTTCGTGAACACTAACCCAAATGCACATTTTCCCAGTTAAGGCTGGCTTTCTCAATGCCCTCGAAGTGCCAGTTATAGTAAACCCACAACTTACACAGAAGTTTCTATTGTAGCTGGAGAAAAGTGAGAAGCGTGTTCTAAAGAAGGAGGAAAAAAAAAAAAAAACCACCACAAACCCTCAAACTTTATATTTCCAGAACCCATTTCTCTTTTCAGTGGGTAAGAAAGGGCTCCAGTCCCATTGTGAAGGAGAAATGGGCTGAGGACCCGCATGTTCAGCACTGTCCTAGTTCCCAATGGCTGAACCATTCTAAAAACTGAGGGCTCATTTTCTCAGTTCAAAGTAGAATAAAAAAATCCACTTAAAGAAAGTAAAGTTGAACAGATAAGGCACTGTTTTTTCTGGGAACACAGCCCTAGCTCAAAAATCTCAGAATCTCTAGGTATCCAAGTAATTGCGCCCCCCCCCCCCCCCTCCCCGTTACACATACACTCCCAAGCCCACACTGGTGTAAGATTTCAGCAGGGCAGGAAAAAAAAAAAAAAGAGAAAAATTTAACATAAAAAATCATAAGGGTATTTCATTTCTCATTTTGATTTCTCCAGGCATGACCAGCCATCAGCGTTCTGCTCTCTCCTCTGCTTTTGGCTGCCCAATAGACACAGTTGAGTTGTTTCATCCAGGGAACTGGAATGCCTAGCCGCCCGTGGTGCTCACATACTGGATGAGTTACACTCACCAGCCCATACCAGCACTTACAAATGGCTTAGAAAACACAAGGGCTTGCCTGGGAGAGCTCTGGCTGCCTGACACTGAAGGGGCCAAGAGAGCATGAGTTATCCTTCATGACTGCCAGCACCTCTGGAGCTTATTTTTGCACTCACAACATTTTATTTTTAAAGCTAGCATATAGCAGAGCTGAGGATGCACACATTTAATAATTAGATGCTGCAGCCAGAAAATCTGTGTAATTACACCATTTGCACACCAGTTATTTCATCCCATTCTCCCAATTCATTTAAGCACAAATAACCTCACCATCCCCCTAATCAGGAAGCCTATAAATACCCAAGTGGAGGCACCAGGCACACCACTGTGTGTTCCCCAGACCCTGGTAAGTGAGCCCTGGATTTGATGCACCCACAGGCAGGCAGTGCCACACTGCCATCCTGTCAGGTATTGGGGTGCAGGAGTCAGGGTGCACTCCAAAACTTAGGGAGTGATGGGGACCCTCCTGCAAGTGATTTGTGTGACTTGAAGTCTTGCATCCCCATCAGGTTGAGCTGATGCCAGGATTAAGGACTCACAGTGCATTCCCACACTCAGGTGATGGGTGGTCTGGGGGCTGCAGGACATGGGAAAGGGGATGCAGGACCCAGGGTGTACTCCCATGCTCAGACCAGGAGCCCAGCCAGCCTGGGGGATGAGCAGAAAGGGCATTTGAGCTGCATCCGCACCCCCAGCGAGCCCATGGGGTAAGAACCAGGACCCAGGATATAATCCCAATCTTAAATTGCTCCCAGTGTGCAGGACCCCACATCCAGCCAGAATAGGGGTGCAGAGCCCAGGCAAGGGGATGCAGGGTCTGGGCTCATATACCCTACGCTCATAGGGTCCGGGAGATGCAGGATCAAGCTGCACCTTATTCCTATCTGCCTCGGGGCGGACAGGGCAGGAACCGGGCTGCACCCATCCGCAGCCAGTCGCGGATGCAGGACCCATGCAAGGGAATGCAGGACCAGGAAATAACCCCGATGCCACGCCGGTCGGGGGGTGCAGGATGCAGCAGGAGGGCTGCAGGAATCCCTGTGCACTCCCGTGGGCTTGCAGGACCCGCGCTAAGGGGATGCCCGACCCCGAGCCGAGGGACCTCGGGGTCACTCACATCGAGGATGACGGAGGTGCCCTTCCTCTGCGCGGAGGCTCCCGAGGTGAGCAGCTCCCTGTCGGCGACGCCCTTGTCGCTCATCCTGGCCCCGACCCAGCGCAGCAGCCCGTCCAGCCCGCGCAGCGCCGGCGCTGGCTTCCGCAGCAGCCTGTGCACGCCGGCCCGGCAGTACCGCGCCGCCTGCTCGCACATCGCTCCGCCCGGCCTCGTGCCGGAGCCGGGGCTCCCTCCTCCTCCTCCTCCTCCTCCTCCTCCTTCTTCCCCCTCCTCCTCCTTCTCGCCCTCCTCCTCCGCATCGCGGCCAGGGGCGGGCTCCTACTTCCTCGCTCTGTCCTGCTGTCAGATTTTGGGGTGGGGGTCCCAGCGCAGTTCTCATCTCCCTCCCAGAGCAGCTCTTCAGACGTGATTCTTGCTAGTAAATAAAACTTGGTTCTGATCCCACAGCCCAAAAAGCCCCTACGACGAACAGCCAGGGATGTCAGTTGGGGAAATGCTGCATCTGTGGCTGCAGAGCTAAGAGTGGTGCTCAGCTGAAGATTCCCAATCCCATCCTTCTGTTTCACAAAGATGTTCACTGCTGGTACACTTGTTTCACCTGCACAAGCCTTGATCTTCCTACGGATAAGCCCTGCACACCTAAGATCACAGAATCATAGAATAGGAGTCATTAATGTTGGAGAAGACCTCCCACATCCCCAAGCCCTACCTTAGCCCAACCCCACTGTACCCACTGCCCACGTCCTTCAGTGCCACATCCCCACGGCGCTGGGATACGACCAGGGACTCCCCCCGTCCTTGGGCAGCTGAGCCACCTGCATCACTGCTCTGTGGGAGAAGGAATTGTTTCTGATATCCAACTCAAACCTGCTCTGGCAGAACTTGAGGCCATCATCTCTCATCCTATTGCTGTTATCCAGAAGCAAAAGCTGAACTCCACCCCACCACAACCTCCTTTCAAGGGCTGGAGAGAGCAAGGTGCCTCTATGTGAGCTCAGACACAGGGGGTGCACTGGGGTGGGGAGCTTGGAACCCTCACTGGGGTCCCCAGGGACTCATGGGGACTTGGTGCCAGCCCAGCCCTTGTGAGCGCTGCACTTTGACACTATGCCTGCTCCCCACAAAAAGGACCAACAAAATGCTGGCACCATTCAGACCTGCTTCACATCTCTGAGGAAATATACTCCAAGGCACAGCACGCCCCGGCATGTCCAAGCACCAGCTACTGCTGCTGCTCTGTCCATAATCTTCATGCCCCAAGTGACAGCAGCCTTTTCATGTTTTTGCAATCCCCATTTTTTATCCAATGCCTTTTGTGGGGAAATATCCCTTTTGTGAGGAACAGGCTTAGTGTCAAAGTGCAGCTTCTTTCTCCTTTAGGCATCTCCCTGCTAAATGGGTCAGTTAGGCTGTGCTAATCACAGCCAGCTTGGCACTGCTGTATGCTCTTTGCTGCATAATTTCATAAGCAAAGTTCTTTAGATTTTCCTTTCTTTCCATTTGCTCTTAAGATTCATTGCTCTGTTTGGAAGTCTGAGGCTATTTATCTTCTTTTGTCCAAATCTTTTCCTGTTAATGTCAAAACCAGCTTTACCACATTTAAATACTCATTTTTCTTCCTTAGTGAATCGAGACTGGAAAAAATTTCAGCCACTCGAAATGGAAGCAGCAAATGTTAATGATGAGCTGGGACAGGAAGATGCAGGCTCAGCTCCAGGCGTAGTGCCGGAGGTCTCCAGGCTCCTGCCACAGCCAAGGCAGAACAGAAGGCAGCACCTGTGCATGCTCTGCCCTCTCTGCACCATGGGGGTCTGAGCTAATGAAAACCTTCCAGCAAAACGTCAGCTGAGGCTTGCTGATGCTTGCTGATGCTTGCTAATTGCTGCTGGGATTGATCTGGCTGCTCAGGGCTGGGAGGAGGAATCAGTGACCCCACAAAGAGGGGAGTCCGGTAGAGCAGAACTGACACCCTACACAGGTGCAGGAGCACAGCTGGACCCTGCAGAGCCCTGTTAGCCCCTGCAACATCAGGACTGTCCTGCTGTGGAAAGGCGAGCCTTTCCCAAATTACACTGTGACACAGGCTAGTTTGTTTAGCAATAGGTTCAGTGTATTAATTTAAGGACCAACGTATTAGTTTAGCAAAAGGCATCAATGAGTGCTATTTCTAAAAAGATCCATTTCAATTTTGCTCAGTATGTGAACAGCCTTGTTTTCCCAATAATTCTGCTTCATGAGCAGCGCTGGAGTAATAATGGACTACATTTATCTTTGCATCCACCAGGTGCATGGACTTTTTCCTCCAATGTCACGTATATTATTTTGGAAATTGTCATTACAAGCAATGAAAGTTTGTCAAACTGGGGAAAAACAGCTAGAGGTCAGCCAGAAGTCTCTGTGATTAGGCTGATGGTGGAAAAATGGGGAGAAAGTGAGTGGTCGTAGGACCGCCTTATCTGCAACCATGTATGAACAGAGGGACATTAGCATACATTAATGAGTTCTTGGACAAGAATGAGTATGCATGCCAATGTACTGCATATGCATGTCTTAACTGTTTAAATGCAGAACTTAACTCAGAGTGCATTAGTTTGTCAAGTTTCCTGGTATGTATGGTGAGGAATAAAGGAATGCCACTTTCTAAGACCACACTGGAGTTAGAGAGATTGCTTTCTGGATTCTGGATGACAGCTACAACCAAACTACCAAACAAACCCTCACAAAGCACTCAGTCCTCCCTGCAACAGGGTCAGTGCAATTGCGGGGACAGAAAACAACCAGGTCACCCAGGAGCCAAGGAGGGTTTGTTTGAGAATGTCTCAGCCCACCAAAGGCCGGGCTGCTGCAGGTTGTGCCTGAGGCCATTCCTAGGGGCAAACCACACGCATATGGGGAGCTTCAGAAGTTGTATAAAACTTATATAACAGAAATCACATGGACTGAACTGCTGAATAAAATCCCTGCAGTATCCTCATAGCCCAATACATGAAAAAGTCACTATTTTGTTTGTTTCAGATACATTTTTATATTATATTTTGAAATTGTAATTTTTGTTATTCTTAGGTGCAGAGATGAGGAGAAATAAGAATTTCTAGCAGGAAGGCAAAAAGCCTGGGGCTGAGTGCTGGGAACAGCCCTTCTGCAGGGGGCTGTGAAAGAAACGGAATTTCGTTTTGTTTTGTATTATTTTATTTTATTTTGGACCGCTTTGTTTGAATATTAAGGGAGCATTACACAGCCTTGTTTTTCTGGCAGTTGAGATAATTAGCAAATCTAATTGCCCTTGCATAGAGTTGCAGGCCATTTACTTGCTAGAACTTGTAATTTTGTAGTTACAGGAAACAAATATTCAACATTATTCTTGCATGTTTAGTACCTACAAAAGCATTCACATAAAGCAGATCAATGCATTTTCTCCCTAATATATGATTTAGTTCAGAACAATCCCTGGAAAAAGTGAATCAGTTTATCTTTCAGTATGACTCTCTGCTTCTCATGCCTGCATTCCCATACCTTATATGGGACAGTAAACAGAAGTCTGAAAAGCAGACTAATGAGGAAACCTGGACTTTCACATCAATACATTTACATAAGCCCGTTATGGGCATGAACACCACTTTAACAACCAGTTAAGCTACTGTGCCTAAAAAAGTGATTACGTCTTTATAACTGACCTCATGAGTTCTCCATCCCTTCCTAACTGCTAGATAACGCTGCATACACTGCTTTAACGTGCAGAATGGGCCTGCAAGTATGCTGAAATCAGATGTAACAGGCTGCTTTGTGGCAGAAGGCAAGATGCAGGAATGGCACACGCTGCTTGTGCCCTACAGCATTCATTCCCCAAGCCTCTCCTCTGTGTGTTTATGGGATTCCATTTGTCCAGACCTGGGTTTCCAGGGTGTTTAAAACATTGCTGCATTTGCTGCTTTGGGATCAAATTAATGTATTTTTTGTATTTTTAAATTTTGCCAAGATATCAGCAGGCCTGTGAGGCAGCTATGGACATCCCACCCCAAAGGGCTGATCTTGAGATACTCACTGGTATCCCCATTCTGTAAGCCTCGTTTCCTGTTAGGAAATCTCTCTGCCCTGTCGGTGTGCAGCACCATAAGGACATCTAGTGCCTAATGCTGATGTGGCACAGACACACCGAGTTACAGCAAAGCATCTTTTTCTTATGGTTTAACTACATGCAGAAACAAAAGGACCCGTCGGGGCAGTTCTTGCTGTTCTCCCATCCAGGCGTTGGCTCAGCTCACAGGGCAATGTCACAGGTGGGTGCCAATGGGGGATTTGTGTCTTCATCCACCCACAGCTCTTATGTTCCTTTCCCACCCTGAAGCTGTCTGGGGATCAGCCTAATGCCCAACACAGACGGAGCAGCAGCTGACGGTGCCTTCTGAGGATGGAGAACTTGACCTCAGCCGGCTGCCATCCTGGCTCTCTGTTTGGAAAAGGCAAGCAGGGCTTCTCTACTCCTGAGAAATAAATTGTTCCGGAGGACAATCTGGAACATTTGCCACTGGGGAAAGCGTGCAATAAAGAATTCAAAACTGTCTCGTGGATAAAAAGAGCACCAGCAATTGGCATGTGTGTACATCAGTGAGCCCGGCTCACTGGATTTTAACAAAATGCTCACCTGGGTGCTGAAGTGTGCTGCAGTCATGAGAGGGAGCTGCGCTCCCACAGAGCTGTGTGTCTGTGCCCTGCAGTGCCAGACAGACGCATGGATGGAACGTACTGTGCTGGGCTCCTCCGATGCACAGCAACAAACCTCTGCGGCTCCAGGTAGCTAAGAACCTACTTGTTCCAGGGCCAAGAACCTACTTTGTGGCTTGGGGAGGGGTTGAAACCAGCATCGACAACAAAAGGTTTGGCTGGGAGGAGAAACAAGACGAAAATGTGCAGGTGGGGGTTGGGGTCGCTCAGTGCTTTCAGTTCTTACAGCCAAAAGCTTTGTTTCTCTTTGCAAATTAGGTCTGCTTTTAACATTCCTTGGGTTTCTAGCTGAGGGCAGGTGTGGTTTTTCAAAAGAAAAAGGCAAAATGCTTGTTAAAAAAGTATTTTAAACACTCATCTTTCCAAAATAAAATGTCGATTTAAGGAGGCTTTAATTTAAATGCATTGATATTTTAAAAGTTGTCTTTCCCTTTCTTTTTGGATGCTCATTAGTATGTACTGACAAAATAGTT